GGGGAGGACATCCATCACACAGTAATCTCGTGTGTGGGAAATTAACGTCTCCTACCCCAACCCTGCAGGAAACGGGACCTCCATTTATTCGTCCCTATCCGAGAAATATAGAATATCTAACCATTTCTTGATGTTATAGAAAGGTAGCAAATTCTTCTCAATTATTTTAAGACCTTGAGTGTTGGTCCGGCCGGGGCTCGAGCCCTCGATCTCCCGCACAACAGTCCAGCGCTCTATCCATTGATCTAACCGGGAGGCGGTTATTCCTCAAACATTAAAAAAAAGCTTCCTTTTAAAACAGTTAAACAAATTTTTCTTAGCAGAATACTAGAATAGACCCAGTAAAAAGAGCGTCATCGTCAAATGTGAAAAGCTTGGTACATGTTATGGGTGATTTTTGTTGCCGGGGCAGAGGGCGAGGTAATGTTCAAAATTAATTATGCATTCGCGTTTTTCTCACACTTGGGTTTAGTGTGGCAGGTAGTTCGTGGAACGGAATATATTGTACTTCTTCGAACAGAATCTCGACGTATTCCACCAACTTCTGCGCCCAGAACTGCTTTAGAAAATATTTTAAAGCCGGATGTTCCCTTCACTAAAGTCCAGGAGCCGAATTTGAAGAACTAAACCGGAGATATTTCGGATAAGAAATGGCTCGAGACGAGGTAAGCGAATGAATCATTGTTAGGAGGGAGTTATTGTTCGAGATACTAACCTAAGTTTTCTGACTTCTGACTTGTAACGCCTTGCCCAGAGATATTTTCTTTGTGTAAACTTTACATCGTCGACCACTCGGGTTTGTCTCGTTTCTCTTTCGGGGCAAGGCCTCGAGTTAAGTGATTAGTAAGAATGCACGTATTTTTAAAAACCACCAAGGCTTACGAATGTTTGATAGATTTAAGGCTTATTCGCACATCTTCAAGTCTCTCCCTTCGTACATTGTTGAGTTATTTTTTAAAATTATGATTTTACCGGAGAAAATGTAATCCCAGTAACATATGGTGGTTCTGTCCTCGTGTACCGGTTCACAAGAGCCAATACAAAAGACCAAACAATACACAATAGCTAACCGATGACAAATAAATAAACAAATGAAGAACAATGGTAATTCCCTTGTGAACCGGTACACCAGGACAGAACCCATATGGTTGATTAAATAATTTGTATTTTTTGATTAATTTTAGGGTTGTGCTGTCCTATCGGTATAAATGTGAAAGAGAACACGCGGACAACACATCTGCAGACAAAGGTAAGAAACAATTGCTTGGCAATTCATGCAAAGAAAATTTGCAAAACAAATGTACTGATGCAAAGTGAAGCCCAAAAACGTTTTGGAATTATTTTCTATATAATTAACGCGAGAGCATAAAAAAAAAGTATGTACTAATATTTTTCGAAAGACATATGCTTCATTGAGTAAGATGAGAAATTTCCGTCCCTCTTAATTTTCTGAATATCCTTTCCCTGAGGTTAGTCCTTCACTAATGGCGTACGACAAGTAATGCATCAACATATGTATTTACAGGGAAGGAAACGAAAACCGGAGGATTAGAAACTTGAAAAGGAGGATTGAAAATGAACAATGGGAAAAGTTTAAAAGGATGCAAGAGGAATCAATTTAACGTAAGTTGCTCAATTTGCTCAATTTGCTGTCTCGCTAGGATTTAAGAAATTAAAGACAATGAAGGCAAAGAGAACGTTTTTGGCCCAAAATTACCTTAGTTACCATTGTAGGAGGACTTCGTTGAATTTGATCCCTTTTATTTCTTTCCAAACCAAATTTATCGGGCGACTTCAAAATATTCAATCAATGTGAAGTCATTGTTACAGACGTCTTTTTTGCTTTCTAGTTGTCATTGCTAAACATCAGGAACTAGTTGTTCTAAAGCCTGTTCTCAGGATGAAAATTAAAAGAAAAAACTGGCCATTCTGGCACATCTATCAATTTGTTTCTTTCCGTTTCTACTTCAACCACTTTACATGTATTACGATTTTTTAATACTTAAAAAAGAGAGAGAGAACGATTAATTAAGTGCATATTAATTTGGAATTAAAGAATAAAAGACAAACTGAATAGTTAATATTCTTCATGGAGAATTCCCAATTGATACTGGAAGAATCTGCTATGAAAACTGGTTCCTGATGTTTATAGAACAATGTTCAGAAACGAAAAGGTGCTTGGTTACAAATTAAAAAGACATTACTTTTATTTTATCCATCTTTTTAACTCCAATTGGACGAGGTTAAAGAATTTCCCTGGACGATTTATTCACGTTGATAAAGCGGTATTCAATTGATTGTCGAATAGCCAAAGTAATTACAACAGCCCATCATAATGAAGGTTTACATTATTATTGGCCAATCAACGCTCGAACTTTTAACAGGCAAAGGTCAAAAACGATCGAAAAGGCACGCGACCAAGTCACGATTTGTGTTCCTTTCTTGTCTGATTGGCTGATAGGATGGCGCGAGTTTTGTAGACCAGTCAATGGCCAAATTGATGCAAAACGAAAACTTTCTGGGATTACTTTCGACACTCAACTGAAAATTTCTCTAGATTTCTAATTGATAATCAACCAAGCCTTTTCTTTTCTGGAGTCCTTACTGTGTTGTATCTGTGTTGACACGTAGAAATTGTGCGAAATAGAATAGGAAATACTAAGAATGGCGCTTTTCATTTGTTTCTTGGAGAACTTTTATATTGCAAGATTTATCACAAATATTAATTTATTATTGATTTCTGATTTGCACCAAGTGACGCTTCGGCAATAAATATTAAGCTCATACTGCTTTGAGTTCGATCGAAGTATATCTTGCAAGCCTCGAGATGAGTTGAATACTCCAGATTACTTCCAACATGAAAAGATTAAAAGTAATCAGTTACCAAAGTAAATTACGTTTTGTTTAAGTGGCAAACTTTTCAAAGAAATGTTATTTTGGATTGACAATTTTAAGTTATTTTCAATCAAGAAAAGCAGATTTTGAATTTACAAAAATATATTTCTTACTCAAGTAGGGTATTATGTTGCTTGTATTTAGAAACCACTTATAACAAAATCCAAAAGTTGATTTGAAAAAATGAAAAACTATTTATCATTTTTTATTTTCAAATGAAACATCAAACAATAAATGCTAAACTTTGAAGTGTTTTTGTAAATGTTTCCTTTTAAGTTAGAATTTTCACTCGATTCCCGGGTTGATACACGCGCATGCGATAAACATCAAACCATTATAGAATCTTTTCTTTCTTTATTCCTTTCCTGTTCTTATATCGAAGCGGTGGACTGAAATCATTACGTGCATGAAGAAATTACCTTAGTATTATGCGATCATAGCTTTAAGATTGATATCGATTTGGGCAACGAGCACGTGGCGATTGAAGGAACTAAGAAAAGTAGAAAACTAGCGATAGGTTTCGTTTTGAATCACAACTACGAGTTAACAAAATCACAAAATCACAAAATAGACTGTCGCTTACCAACGATCGCAGGTCTCTTGTGACTACTTTATCGAGGATTACGGTCTAACTTGTCCTCTAGTTTTGAAACGATCTTGATTACACGAGGCCTTATCCTGAACTGAAACGCTATCTATAATTTTTCGTCTAAAAAAGAACTAATCACGGAGGCGTTTATCAAACTACAAAATATTTCGCAGTTTCTTTCGGAAGCGGTAACATTTATTCCATTTACATTTTCTCGAGTAACCAAGGGAAACTTTTTGAAAAAAATAAAACATTTCCAGCGTAGAGAAACTCTCGGGACTTTTAAAACAAAGGCTGTGGCTTTCTCTGTTAGAGAAACACCCTCCCTCAGTAGAAGTTGGGTTTTATTTATACTCGTTCACTTCCGAAGAGTGATCAAAGAAGAAATTCTCTTTGTAGTAGAAACACTGTCCAAGCAGGACAGTGACGAGAAGAAAGAAAATTATCACCTTAGGGATATTGTTTATATAAATATAAAAAATATTTATATAAAAATATAGAAAGTTTAAAAAATTGCGAGGATGGACAACTTCTGACGCAATTTTTTAAACTTTCTACGTTCGTGTTGGCTGTGAGGTTTGGACTGCGAATCTTTATTGATCCTCCTGGCGCGGTGCACCTTTTGCAACTTGTGGTCTTTGATAAAATTTACAAATGCTTATTTATTCCAAATTGCACGAGAAAATCATGCGATTATCTATTAATAATACACATGAAAAAATACGAGCTAGTTCTTCCTAACTACGCAGACGAGAAGCGCGCGCAACACGTGCAAAAGTGATTTATTCAAACCCTGCAAGTGACATTGACCTTGACATCGACGTTGACATTGACCTTGACCAATCATTCTGACCAATCAGAATGTCTGGTTTGTTTCTTTCTTTGCACTGAATTAACCCTCTTCTGCACTGAATTAACTGAAAACTGCATTCATCTTAACCAATCAGAACTGAGAAATTTTTTCATGTATATTATTAGAANAAAAACTGGCCATTCTGGCACATCTATCAATTTGTTTCTTTCCGTTTCTATTTCAACCACTTTACATGTATTACGATTTTTTAATACTTAAAAAAGAGAGAGAGAACGATTAATTAAGTGCATATAAATTTGGAATTAAAGAATAAAAGACAAACTGAATAGTTAATATTCTTCATGGAGAATTCCCAATTGATACTGGAAGAATCTGCTATGAAAACTGGTTCCTGATGTTTATAGAACAATGTTCAGAAACGAAAAGGTGCTTGGTTACAAATTAAAAAGACATTACTTTTATTTTATCCATCTTTTTAACTCCAATTGGACGAGGTTAAAGAATTTCCCTGGACGATTTATTCACGTTGATAAAGCGGTATTCAATTGATTGTCGAATAGCCAAAGTAATTACAACAGCCAATCATAATGAAGGTTTACATTATTATTGGCCAATAAACGCTCGAAATTTTAACAGGCAAAGGTCAAAAACGATAGAAAATGCACGCGACCAAGTCACGATTTGTGTTCCTTTCTTGTCTGATTGGCTGATAGGATGGCGCGAGTTTTGTAGACCAGTCAATGGCCAAATTGATGCAAAACGAAAACTTTCTGGGATTACTTTCGACACTCATCTGAAAATTTCTCTAGATTTCTAATTGATAATCAACCAAGCCTTTTCTTTTCTGGAGTCCTTACTGTGTTGTATCTTTAATTTTAATGGTTCTCTATATTTTTGGACTGGAGAAGTTGACACGTAGAAATTGTGCGAAATAGAATAGGAAATACTAAGAATGGCGCTTTTCATTTGTTTCTTGGAGAACTTTTATATTGCAAGATTTATCACAAATAATAATTTCTTATTGATTTCTGATTTGCACCAAATGACGCTTCGGCAATAAATATTAAGCTCATACTGCTTTGAGTTCGATCGAAGTATATTTTGCAAGCCTCGAGATGAGTAGAATACTCCAGATTACTTTTACGCTCTTACGCTCCCATCTCTAAAATATTAGAAACCATCTCATGTGAAGAAAGTCAGATGAAAGTTCGTGTCGCGGAGGTGTAATTTTCTTTTCACGTGCGTTTCAGTAAAATGAAAGTTCAACAGGTATTAGTGCGAGTGCAATTTCATTAACACTGAATACAAAAACTGAACAGATTCCGGCCATGTTTACTTTTCAGCAAAGATCGCCAGAACTGAAGCCCTTCTTTTTTAGGTCGAGCGTTTAATACTCTGACATCATTTTGGAATGTATGCATTGGTTATTCACAACTTAAATCAGTAAATTCTTTGTTCAATTTTGTCTTTTATTGTGGTTTTCGAAAACACTGCGTGTATGCAAAGTATTTGTTTCATTGTGCCGAACATTTTGAACTGTCGATTTTGTAATCGTCTTGCTTTCCTAATTTTATTTTTGTTTCTTTGTGGAGCTTTTCAAGCTGGTGTACAATTTCCAGAGTAAACTTTTCTAAGCATTTGACATAAAAAAGAGAAATATTTTCAAAGGATTTTGTCCGCAGTTTTCCTTGTTTTAAGCAAAACTTTCGAAAATCAAGGAAAATAAGTTACATTTCAACATTAGTTACACTAGATATTTTTAAGATTACGCGAACCTTTTTTAGTGTCAACATTTCCAGTCCAAAAGTGTAGAAACTGTAAA